CTCACTTTTAAATCTATTTTTATAATACATATGTATTTCCCATTTCAGAAAAAAATTATAAAAAATACTGTGAAATCAACTCTTTAAGCACTTTCAGATGAAGCAATAAAAAATTTGCATGCAAATTCTCTATTCGTCAGTTACAAAAGGGCTCAAGCGCCAAAAATGAGCGATGAATTATTTAATCACATTATTAATTAATATGCTATTTAAAACGGGTCGGTTCATACGGTTTCTGCTGATTATTTCGGATTTGCATAACTGACGCTTGAGCCTTTTTGTAACTGACCGATTCAATTCGCGTGAAATATATTTCACAAAATTTCACGAGGATTTGAGTTTGTCAAAAACCAGAGGTATACATCCCTGGCTGCAAAGCAACCCAAGCCAAAAGGTCCAGTTACACGATCAAATTGAGCCATCCAACCGAAGCTCTGATTGGTGGAAAAAGACCTGAGGTGAGGATGCGACCAATGAGAGGCCCAATTTGATGGTTCAATTTGATCGTGTGACCAGGCCATTAGAGGACGCTTTGCACCCTCAAAGGGTCGCTTCCTGCCTCATTTTCCAAGAAAAATCACTATCTGTCGATAGCCTCAAAAATAAGATAATTCGACACAACAAATCACTAGAACGAATTATGACAAAAAATGAAAATTTAGGAGGTCTGAGAACTCACATAAACGATACCTATTGCTTTGTACTGAAACCTTCGAGGTTGATTATCTAAAAAATGTGTCTTTTTACAAGTGTACGAGACTCCTAATAAAATAGAAACTCTAGAAAGACAATATCGTACTTCTGCCCACATGAACACAGAATGTTGCTACTTTTTCTTACATTGTGGAAGATCTTTATTATGCAACATTTATTCCAGCATCTGAACCTATTTATCGGTGAAGGGCGAATGTCAGATCTGGGCACTCATCCCTATTTTATTGGATGGTGAAAAGTTTACTCACCGATGGTACAGTCGATGCGAATGGATGAGCAGCGGTTTTGACGGAACAGCGAATATCGCCTCCTTAGCTCTGGCCAACATAATTACTGAACCACACTCATTGTTAAGCGCTCCCGTTTTCCGGCATGTTAATTCATTTCTTTGTTTTTCCTATTCTTACATGGCTCGCGGGAGACTTACGATAAGATAACACGGACTGTATTTTCGTGTGGTTCCTAAGGCTTAAATTTTGCACTCCGTGCACTTGCAAGACCAATATTGTGGCCTCATTCCTGTTGTTGAAATCTTAGAGACGCTTGCCATGCAGCACATTATTAGAGGTTTCTATGCAGGCAATTAATCTCATCAGACATTTTGTGAAATAAGTTGACAGATAGTTAAAATTTGAAAGTAGATAGTATATTTTGGCGTGATTTTGACAGGGTTCTCAATTTTTCAGTATCTTGAATCTTCAAATTAAGTCACCCCCCAAAATTCCCCAGTTACATTTTATATGTGAGTGATCAAAGACTCCATTTTACAAAACTCTGCAAGTTTTGAGGTGCATATTCATTTAAAGGCTTGGCATATTCAGACCAACCCTATTATTATGGCTTTTTACAGATGGTTCTTTCCTACAAACGCCCTTTCATCCATTTTCCATTTTTTTTACAGTATCCCGAAGGACATGTAGTTCATTTAATATTCTCAAAATTACATCAAAATTTGTAAAATTAGTTAAGTATTTTCTTATACAGTTCAATTAAGCTTTTCATGCACATACTATACGTCTAAAAGTTCATTATGTACGTTTAATTGTGTGGACAAAAAAAAATAAAAAATAAAAAACAAAAAAAAACAACGTAATTTTCTCATCATTCTTGGAAATATGGCGGAAACTTTAAATTTCAGATTCAAAGATTGGAGAGTAGAACCGGTACTACGTATAACAATAAATCCACGGCAATAAGTCCTGATGCCGCTTTTGGAAGGGTGGAGAGCAAGGGGTGGTTAATGAATCAGGGTAAGGAGTCAAGTTCAGAAAGAGATC